AAACCCATCTCACATGCAAGGATATACATAGGCTCAAAAAAGGGATGGAGGAAGATTTACCAAGAAAATGGGGAAAAGGAAAAAAAACAGGAGTTGCAATCCTAGTCTCTGATAAAATAGACTTTAAACCAACACATATCAAAAGAGACAAAGAAGAGCATTACACAATGATAAAAGGATCAATGCAAAAAGAAGAGCTAACTCTCCTAAATATATACACGCCAAATACAGGAGTACCTAGATACATAAAGCAAGTTCTTAATGACCTACAAGGAGACTTAGACTCCCATACAATAATAGTGGGAAACTTTAACACTCCACTGTCAATATTAGACAGATCAATGAGACAGAAAATTAACAAGGATATCCAGGACTTGAACTCAGACCTGGACCAAGCAAACCTAATAGACATTTACAGAACTCTCCACCCCAAATCCACAGAATATACATTCTTCTCAGCACCACATCACACCTACTCTAAAATTGACCACATAATTGGAAGTAAATCACACCTCAGCAAATGCAAAAGAATGACAATCATAACAAACAGTCTCTTGGACCACAGTGCAACCAAATTAGAACTCAGAATTCAGAAACTTACTGAGAACCGCATAACTTCATGGAAACTGAACAACTGACTCTTGAATGTTGACTGGATAAACAATGAAATAAAGGCGGAAATAAAGATGTTCTTTGAAACCAATGAAAATGAAGACACAGCATACCAAAGTCTCTGGGACACATTTAAAGCAGTGTCTAGAAGGAAATTTATAGCAATAAATGCCCACATGAGAAGCAAGGAAAGATCTAAAATCGACACCCTATCATCAAAATGGAAAGGGCTAGAGAAGCAAGATCAAAAAAACTCAAAAGTTAGCAGAAGACAAGAAATAACTAAGATCAGAGCAGAACTGAAGGAGACAGAGACACAAAAAACCCTTCAAAAAATCAATAAATCCAGGAGCTGGTTTTTTGAAAAGATCAACAAAATAGACCACTAGCCAGATAAGTAAAAAAGAAAAGAGAGAAGAATCAAATAGATGCAATAAAAAACGATAAAGGGGATATCACCACAGATTCCACAGAAATACAAACCACCATCAGAGATTACTATAAACAACTCTATGTACATAAACAAATAAACCTGGAAGAAATGGATAAATTCCTGGACACTTACATCCTCCCAAGCCTAAGCCAGGAAGAAGCCGAAACCCTGAACAGACCCATAACAAGGTCTGAAGTTGAGGCAGCAATTAATAGCTTACCAACCAAAAATAGCTCAGGTCCAGATGGGTTCACAGCTGAATTCTACCAGACATATTAAGAGGAGCTGGTAACACTCCTTATGAAACTATTCCAAACAATCCACAAAGAGGGTATCCCCCCCAAATCTTTTTATGAGACCAACATCATTCTGATACCAAAACCCAGCAGAGACTCAACAAGAAAAGAAAACTTCAGGCCAATATCCATAATGAACATAGATGCAAAAATCTTCAATAAAATACTGGCAAACTAATTGCAACAGCATATCAAAAAGCTTATCCATCACGATCAGGTAGGCTTTATCCCGGGGATGCAAGGCTGGTTCAATACACACAAGTCTATAAACATAATTCCCCACATAAACAGAACCAAAGACAAAAACATACGATTATCTTAATCGATGCAGAGAAGGCCTTTGAAAAAATTCAACAGCCCTTTATGCTAAAAACTCTCATTAAACTGGTATCAATGGACCATGTCTCAAAATAATAAAAGCTATTGACGACATACCCACAGCTAATGTCATACTGAATGGGCAAAACCAGGAAGCATTCCCTTTGAAATCTGGCACTAGACAAGGATGCCCTCTCTCACCACTCCTATTCAGTATAGTATTGGAAGTTCTAGCCAGAGCAATCAGGCAAGAAAAAGAAATAAAGGGTATTCAGTTAAGAAAGGAGGAAGTCAAACTGTATTTGCAGATGACATGATTGTATATTTATAAGACCCTATCGACTCAGCCCCAAATCTCCTTAAACTGATAAGCATCTTCAGCAAAGTCTCAGGACACAAAATCAATGTGCAAAAATCACAAGCATTCCTATACACCAATAACAGACTTAAAGAGAGACAAATCGAGAATGAACTGTCATTCACAATTGCCACAAAGAGAATAAAATACCTAGGGATACAACTAACAAAGGATGTAAAAGACTTCTTCAAGGAGAACCACAAACCACTGCTCAAGGAAATAAGAGAGGACAGAAACAGATGGAGAAACATTCCATGATCATGGTTAGGAAGAATCAATATTGTGAAAATGGCCATCCTGCCCAAAGCAATTTATAGATTCAATGCTATCCCCATCAAGCTACCAATGACTTTCTTCACAGAACTGGAAAAAAACACCTCAAACTTCATATGGAACCAAAAGAAGCCCGCATAGCCAAGTTAATTCTAAGCAAAAAGGAACAAAGCTAGAGGCACCACGTTACCTGACTTCAAATTATACTACAAGGCTGCAGTAATCAAAACAGCATGGTACTGGTACCAAAACAGAGATATAGACCAATGGAACAGAACAGAGGCCTTAGAGGCAATGCCACACATCTGCAACCATCTGATCTTTGACAAATCTGACAAAAACAAGCAATGGGGACAAGATTCCCTGTTTAATAAATGATGCTGGGAAAACTGACTAGCCATGTGCAGAAAGCAGAAACTGGACCCCTTCCTGACACCTTACACCAAAATTAACTCCAGATGGATTAAAGACTTAAACATAAGACCTAACACTATAAAAACCTTAGAAGAAAACCTAGGCAAAATCATTCAGGACATAGGCATAGGCAAGGACTTCATGACTAAAACACCAAAAGCATTGGCAACAAAAGCCAAATAGACGAATAGGATCAAATTAAACTCCAGAGCTTCTGCAGAGCAAAAGAAACAATCATTAGAGTGAACCGGCAACCAACAGAATGGGAAAAAATTTTGCAATCTACCCATCTGACAAAGGACTTATATCCAAAATCTACAAATAACTAAAACAGATTTACAAGAAAAAAAGAAACCCAATCAAAAGTGGGCAAAGGATATGAACACTTTTCAAAAGAAGACATACATGAGGTCAATAAACATATGAAAAAATGCTCATCATCACTGGTCATTAGAGAAATGCATATCAAAACTACATTGAGATACCATCTCATGCCAGTTAGAATGGCAATCATTAAAAAATCTGGAGACAACAGACGCTGGCGAGGATGTGGAGAAATAGGAACACTTTTACACTGTTGGTGGGAGTGTAAATTAGTTTAACCATTGTGGAAGACAGTGTGGCAATTACTCAAGGACCTAGAAACAGAAATTCCTTTTGACCCAGCAATCCCATTACTGGGTGTATATCCAAAGATTATAAATTGTTCTATTATAAGGACACATGCACACATACATTCATTGCAGCACTGTTTACAATAGCAAAGACATGGAACCAACCCAAATGCCCATCAATGATTGACTGGACAGGGACAATGTGGCACATATACACAATGGAATACTATGCAGCCATAAAAACCTATGAGTTTGTGTCCTTTGTAGATACATAGATGAAGCTGGAAACTATCATTCCCAGCAAACTGACACAGGAACAGAGAATCAAGCACCACATGTTCTCACTCATAGGCAGGTGCTGAACAGTGAGAACACATGAACACAGGGAGGGGAGCATCACATACTGAGGTTTATCGTGGGGTACTAGGAGGAGGACAGTGCGAGGTAGGGAGTTGGGGAGGGATAAAATGTGAGAAATGCCAGATATAGGTGATAGGGATGGAGGCAGCAAACCACATTGCCATGTGTGTACCTATGCAACAATCTTGCATGTCCTTTACATATACCCCAGAACCTAAAATGCAATAAAATATATATTAAAAAAAAAAAAAACCTTGAAAGAAATATATATGTTATTCATTATGACCATGTACCATTTATCACTGGGATGCAAGGATGGTTCAATATATGCAAATCAATCAATATGATACACCATATCAACAGAATGAACGATAAAAAACCTTATGATCATTTCAACCAATGCTAAAAAGCATTTGGTAAAAGTAGAATCCTTATCTGATCCAGGGATCTCACTTCTGGATATATTTCAATTCATAAGAATTAAGATGAGAATTTCAAAGGGACATCTGCACTCCTATGTTAACCTGAAGCATTGTTTGCAACAGCTAAGATAGGGAAACAACCTAAATGTCCATCAACAGATGAATAGATAAAGAAAACGCGATATATACATATAATATTATGAATATTATTCAGCCTTAGAAGGAAATTCTGCCATATGCTACAACATGGGTTAATTGAAGGACATTAATTAAGTGAAATAAGCTATTCATGGAAGGACAAATACTGCATGACTCCACTTATACGAGGTATCTAAAAAGGTCAGTCATAGAAACAGAGATTATAATGTTGGTTGTCAGGGGTGAGGAAAGAGGGAAATATGGGAGTTGTTATTCAACAGATATAAAGTTTCAGTTATGCAAGATGATTAAGTTCTAGAGATCCACTGTACAATATTGTTAACTATATTGTTAATAATAAAGTCAGCAATACTGTACTGCACACTTTTAAATTTGCTAAATGTTCTTACCGTAATAAAAAAAAATCAAAATTAAAAAAAAAAATACATTTCTCAATTTTTTAATAAAGTTAAACTGAACTATGAACTTAGGAGCTGAGAGGATAAGCTGGGAGAGTTTGAAATGAAAACTCCTATAATGAATTAACTAATGTATTGTAAAGAACAGAAACAAGGTCAGCAAATATAAAATGAAATTCTGTTTAACTTCGTAAATGAGTAAGGAACACTATGTTTTATTTACCGGCATGGATAATGACTATGGGTGTGTTCACCCACAGTGATTCATTAAGCTTATGATTTATAACCTTTTCTGTAAGTAAGTTATATGACAATAAAAAAAGTAAAAACAACAAGTACATACTCTTTGTTCTGGCATTTGTAGACATGATTGAGAGTAGAATAAACATGAAGAATAGATATAATGCTTTTCATGTTTAGGGATTCAGGTTCCTCTACTATTCTCTTCATAAACAGATCCATTAAATCAACAGGTTGAAAACCAAGGTTTTCAAATGAAACGAGAAGAAAAAGAACCTTAAAAAGAGAAAATTGAGGGGAAACTCTTTAATACTTACAGTATGCTAACGGTAATTTTTTGGATCTCAAAAAATCTAACTAGTAATTCAACTCTCCTGATCAACAGGAGATATCCTGAAAAGGAACAATTATCTCTCCCTCACAAAATCTGTACCATTAATTCTTGAATTGTGCATTAAGTTAATAAGTAATCATTTTATAAGCAGAGAAGCAGAGCATATAATGGTTTCTATGTTTCCATTTCATTTAAAAGTAAACTCTTTCCTACATCATTTTCATACAACAGATCTAAAAATTACTTTTAAATATGCCTTTTCTGAAGGTTTTCAAAATGACCAACTCAGTCTTGAACTCCTCCCATTCCCAAATTTAAAAACTTCCTAGATTCTAACACGTAAGACATAACCCCTAAATTTCTATATTTAATATTAATATCTATAAGTGAGAATGGAACTGAAACATCACGATTAAAATAGCCTCTCAAACTTTTTTACTTAGGATTATTACTTCTCTTTCCATAACCAATTTCCACAGTAAACTCAATATTCACCGTGCTCTCCAAAATAAACTGAACCTAGAGATCTAACAAAGTTATCACCTATTTCATTGCAAAAATAAGTTTTTGCCAGCTGCTTCATTTAGATGTTTATATTCTTAACACAGCTCCTGATTTTAAAGGCTTTTACTCTGGACAAAACAATGGACATGACCATAAGTAGTGACATTTTATTCTTCAAAAACCATAAGCCTGTCACATCATCCCTCTTTATTATTCAAAATCTATCAAGAAAAAATAAACACAGAAATGATGCTAAATATCTAATCAAAGTACTCTATACAACCCTTTAAAACCAAATAGAAGAGCAAACTTTGGACAATATTATTTTGTTTCAAATAGAAAGATGACCAAAAGATAGAACACTATACAGATGATCCCTGACTTATGGTGGGATATATCCCAACAAACTCACCATAAATTGAAAATATTGTAAATCAAAATGCATTTAACACATCCAACTTACTGAACATCATAGCTTAGCCCAGCCTACCTTAAACATGCTTAGAACTTACATTCACCTATAGTTGGGCAAAATCAGTTAACAAAAAGCCTATGTTATAATAAAAGTGTTGAATATCGCAGGTAATTTATTGAATACAATATGCACTATTTACCCTCATGATGGCACAGCTGACTGGGATCTGCGACTTGCTGCCACTGCCCAGCATGAAAAGAGAATATCATACAACATATCGCTAACCCAGGAAAACATCAAAAATCAAAAAAGTATGGTTTCTACTGAATGCATATTGCTTTTGAGACATCAAAAAGTCAAAAAATCATTAAGTCAAGCCATCCAAAGTTGGGGACTATTCATATTAGCAAGTAGCCCCCAGACAGGAATAATAAGGAACTAATTTCTCAAAAGTCAATTCAGCATTGGAGTATCTGGATATCTTAACTACTACTATAAAGGTGAAAGAGAAATATTTAAAATGCTAAATGAATTAGCATGTGTTTTAAAAGTTTTGTGAGGCTTATTCTAAACTGTTAATATACTCACTTTTTTGAACTTCCAGATGTCAAAAGTTGTAGCCACATAATCCGCTAGTCCCTTGAAGAGATCTAAATTATAGTATCGGAGGTCTTTGCAGGACTGCAATATGTTGATCATTATTTTTAAAGGACACCCGTGGATATTACCTTTAAGAATGAGTTAAATAAGCAAACAAAGATTACCAGATTGTTTTGAATGCAAGCTACAACATGCTTTATTCTTTTTTTCACATAAAACCAAAGTTTTTAAAACAAAACAAAAATAGTCTAAAACAGAAGGTCAGGTGTTACAAGTGATGAAAGAAAAATTCCCCTTACCTAGGACCATCTTACTGCATTCATTCAGGAGTATAAGAGATCGATGATTCATGGCAGCTAGTACCTCAAACATGTGCTGGCTATTCACAACAGAAAATCTGTCTAATTCCTTCAAGGCTTTCATCTAAAGAAAAACAAACTTAATTTACTATCTGTGGCAAAATAAATTAAACTTTTATTTTTATTGAGACAGGGTGTTTCTCTGTCACCCAGGTTGAAGCCTCAGCCTCCCGGGCTCAACTGATCCTCCTGCCTCAGTCTCCCACGTAGCTGGGATTACAGGCATGCACCACCACGCCTGGTTAATTCTTTGATTTTTTTTTTTTTTTTTTGCAAAGACAGGGTCTTGCTCAATTAGCCAGGCTGGTCTCAAACTCCTGAGCTCAAAAGATCCCCCTACCTTGACATCCCAAAGTGCTGAAATTATAGGTGTGAGCCACCATATCTGGTCTAAATTTTTATTTTTAAATAAAAAAGATGATGTTTGGGTAAAATGACCCAAACAAATAGATAAATGCATATACATTTATATATTTACAGATAAATAAATATAAGGACACTTCTATTAATTCACTTTAGCAAAGCTACACCTAAAAGCCCAACAATGCCCTCTTAGAAAATTGACTTCAAGCAGTCATAGCAGGTTACAAGAAATAATTTTTCCAAATCTCATCCACTAGAGAAAATTCATGTGTTTACCTCCAGTTTCCTCTTAAGAGCATTCGGTGCATCTTTTCCAATACATTTCATCACAGCTTGTAACGTTAAGACATCTTCTATTTTCCAAACTTGCTGATCAACTAGTATTCTGTTATCAAACACAGTAAATATTACAATCACAGAATCGTCAAAGCAGAAGACAAATCTTAAAATTTCACTTGATCCAGCTCCTTCTTACAGGAAAGGATTATGAAGCCCAGAGAAATGATCTACCTGCCCAATAGAGTGTAAGTAGTAAAAGATCGAGAACCAATCTATTAATAGTGCTATTTTCTCTCACATTATCGTACTGCCTTTACTAAGGAACAAATTAAATTACATCAGGATATTACAGTAACATATCCTACGCATAGTCAACTAAAAGGGAATTAAGTGTTACTCTCACTAATCTATGTTAGATCAGTTTTATCAATTTTATAAATTCCTTTTTAAGCTGGGCCAGTGTCAAATAACCCTCAAATAATGCCTGAATAACTCCTCTGAATATACATATCAATTTTCTCCCACCCACATCAGTACTATGTTTTAAAATAAATTAATTTAGATGTCAATGGTACTCACATCTTTGTTATTATGGACCCTAAAAAAAGCATTTCCAGCCTTATGTCATCCAGAGTCAGGATTTTAAGCTTAATAAGGCATTAAAGACTGCAACTAGCAAAAAGCCTCACCAACTCCTCCCCTCAAGAAAGCAGTTTAGTTTTCATCTCAATTTTTTAGGTTTAAAAGGAACAAAGAAAACCACATGAAGAAAGCATAAGAGAGTTCTCACCTGAATCCTGCTTGTAGAACATGAACATTCCTGCATGGCTCCATTGCCTCTAAAACAGTTGACAAAACTGAAAGGCACACGTCATCACACTCATTGATACGTTCCTATTGAAATATAATTACAAAAATACTACAGGTGATAAGCCCATAGTAAATTATCTCATCCAAGCAAAACCACTGAACTGACGTACTGAATAAAAGGACTAAATATCAAGCCAACAATTCCCACAGTCAGTCCACAGTTAACAGCATCTTCAGGAAATAAAAAGTCATACTTACCGAATTTTCCAGCTAACTGATATATATCCTTTTATGTGTCAACACTTTTTTACCTTCATCATTATCACTGAAAACATATTTAATATTCATTATATTCCACTGCTTCTGAAACAACTTCTATTAAACATTATTTTTACCTCTTTTTGGAACCAGGTCATTACAAAGGCAAAAACAGTTAAAGTACAGGAATATAAGAACTACAGAGGTATAGAAGGTAACTAGCCCATCTCTAAAGATCCTTAAATGGTTATGCCCTTACGATTTTCCTAGATCCATTCCTGAGAGTCAAGCTGAAACTCTACTTGTGGATCTTCTAATTCACATCTCCTGCCACATTCTACCACTACTATCTGGGTCTCAAGGGAAGCCTACACCCCACAGATTCTTCTTTCAGGTCCCTTTACTTAGAGTACTAAATTGGATTCCAGAAATAACAGCAGGCATAATTTGGAAAGTGAATAGTAACAACACGGCTTACCTAGTACTACTCTACAGTTTAACCACAACTAGTCTATACACCTCACAAAAGATCACATCTGAGGAAACTTAGCCTAAAAAGAGATACACTCTTTTGCTAAAATTATATAACAACAAATCACAAAGTTTTAAGTCAGAACCAGATAAGAAATGGATACGGTTAGAAGAAAAAACCAGGTTTTTTTCCTATAAAAGGATTTCCTTAACAATTTTACAGCATTCCCTTCATATCTACTACGAAAGAAAAGACCACTTGGCTATGTGTTTGAAGGGCAAATTCACTGATGGTACACTGTCCTTTCGCCTCTATCTAAAATAAATGTCTTTATATTATTCCAACAGTCAGTAAGACATATCATCCATAGAGATGTTTTGACTACAAAAATCTACTACTTAAACCTCACCAACACAGATGTCATCCCCATGTGAGTTTATTTGTCCAAAATCTAGTAAGAGTATCACTGATCAGGTTACAGTCACTTTTAAATAACTATATAGGGAACTAATACACAGTCTACAAATAAACATGGATATTCTGTGGTTTAAACAAATATACACACATACACTAAATAAAAGTTATTGCTTAAGAACATATGGATCTTTGGCTAGAGTCACAGACTTAAAAAAAGAACATATGGAAATCACAGTAATGTAAAAAGTTAAAAATTTCCAAATAGCTAGAACCCAATTCTTGAATTCTATAGCAAGATAGGATACATGCCAGAATTATTCCCAAGAAATTCCTGTCTTTTAAAAAATAATTATTATTTTCAGACAGGGTCTGGCTCTGTCAGTCTGACTGGAGTGCAGTGGCACAATCATGGCTCACGGCAGCTTCGATCTCACAGGCTCAAGCGATATTCCCACCTCAGCCTCCCAAGTGGCTAGGACCACAGGCAAGTACATCACACCCAGCTAATTTTTGTAGAGACAGGGTCTCCTTATGTTGCCCAGGCTGGTCTCAAACTCCTGGGCTCAAGAGATCCTCCTGTCTTGGCCGCCCAAAGTGCTGGGATTACAGCTATGAGCTACCACACCTGACTAAAAAATTACTTCATTATTATTTTTAGAAGTCAGAAGTGTACACTCTTAAAACATAAATGATTAAAAAGCTAATCTCTCCTTCCTTACATCTGGCACCATTTCAGTTACATTAAACAGGACATTGACATTCTTGCTTTAGACTAAAAATGGCTCACTCCAGCCAATTTCAACCTTCTTCCAATCCATTTTCCACTCATTCAGTGATCTAAAATACAAATTTGAGCATGTCAACTCACTGCTTAAAATTTTTCGATGGATTCCCAGTGCCAGGATAAACGCATACTCCTTAGCTAGCCATAAGAGGCTCTTTATGATTTGTTTCCTGTTTTTCTAGCCTCTTGACCCTCACTCCTCTCCTTTGATCACCACGTACAAAATTTCTTCCCATCCCCTCAAACAAACATCTCAGTTATTCTGTACTTCAGCCACGCTAAATTACTTTCATCTCTTCAACTCTGCCAAACTTTTCCTCTGGGAGCGTTAGGGCATTCGATCCTCTCTACTTAAAACACCAGCCCCTTCACTATCAATGTGCTCATTAGTTTAGGTATCATCTACTGGGCCTGAATCCCAATTCTACCATGGACTAGATTACCTTCCTTCCCTTTCCTTTCTCTCCTTCTTCAACTACCCAGCCTTTCTTTGTATATCTTGCATCTCTTCTCATTTTAGCTTCTTCACCGCTACTCAACTCTGGGGATGGTAAATGGGGAAGGTTTTCATAAATTTCCACAGCAGAAGGAAGAAAATAACTAGCTAACTTAAGGCCTCCAAATCATATAATATATATGCAAAAATAAATAAAAGGAAACTACCATTCCATTTGACAGTCTCTTTTAAGGAGGCTACATATCTATTTCCCATCATTCTTTCAAAATACTGTAAATCAAGTAAAAGCATGTTTAAATCTCCTTTATATTTTACCTGGGTCACCCTCAGCAAAGTCTGTACCAAAAGAGTGTTCTGAGGGATTCCAAGCTTCACTATGGCATGAAGACTGAACAGCAGGTACTTATATTGCATGATCTTGGCTTCTCTCATCGTATGTTCACAGAGCTGATTAAACGCAGGGTGGCTAAACATCAGTTGTTTTTCAAAGCGCTTCTGTTCGTCAGACAGTCTTTTGGCAATTGTCCACATTGCTGTGAAATAGTTGCTACTAGGAAATGTAGGTGCTTTTGAAAATGTATCTAACACATCACTAAAGGAATTACATTCCTGAGACAGTGTGCTATTGCTGATACGATTTGGTTTTGTTTTGTTGTTAAGAACATCTTCATTGGAGACTTCATGATGAAAGTTTACTTTCTTCAAGCCATCATTGGATTTATCAACAGAGACAAGAGACTGCTTTGAGTCAAAAGACAATCTTCTAGCACAAAGTAGTCTGTCAATTCTAAGGGCTGTTACAGTGCTTATGCCCTTTTTTTGAAAGCCAACATCTGATTTTAAAATGAATGCATCTTGAAAGAGATATCTAATGATACCAGATGATTGCATTCTCTTACAAAAGTCATTTAAAGTGTTCCAGTCTGAATAAACTATTTTTGGTTTGCAAAGTCCCAAAGGATATAGCCTCATAGTTCTGCTTGTTAGAACTAAAGTCCTGAATTGTTTAAGGTTCCAGAACAAGGAGCCTGCTTTGTTCCTCATTTTGCTCTCCACTGAAACACTTCCAAAAAGTTTTAAAGTTGTCAATATGAAACCAACGTCACTTCTACTAGTGAAAAAGAAAACGTGCTGTGGTTTTCCTGTAGGGGAAGAAGTAATGAAAAGAATAAAAATTAAAGCAAAACTTTTACTTAAAGAAATGGAATGCATTTAACAGAAGAGAAAATGGGGAACCTACGGCGCTATTAAAGATTTACATTTTTTTTTTTAATTTAATCTATATGGGCTCCCTCCAATATACCACAATGTGTCCAGTTTCAAAGAAGCCAGGTCACTTTCGAAGGAGTCATTGTATAAATGAGTTGTTTTTTTTGTTTGTTTTTTTTATTGTTTGTTTGTTTTTTTAAAGTGAATTTCTGGTGCAAAAGCGTTCGAAAAAGCTTCCTTTGTAGGAGAGATTTTTGTTGGCATTGCTATGGAAATGTCCTCAATGAAAATTAAGGGATTAACGTTGATAGATCATTTTCAACATGAGGATTTAGCAACGGCCGAACCCAGACCATCAAGAATATGGATTTGGGCCGGCAGAACGGCTCGATGGAAAAAGCAGAAAACGAAAGCGATGTTTGCATGTGGCCTGCGCTTAGGAGGAAGATCTTACACAACCAGCCAGCTTCACCAGGCCCCAGAACCAAAAGAGCCCGTCCTTCTGCAGCTGGGCCGCCCAGCATTAACCCACCTCCTTTAAACTTAATTCCAGGACAACGCCTGAGAGTTTGCTCTGCAAGGTAAAAAGTCAGGATGTGATACGTTCAACCACTCAGCCCAGGCTCGTCCTCCACTCACCTTAGGGTAGAATCCCGCGTCCACATATCGGCGCGGCCATGACAGCTTCCCCGAGAGCTGAGAGTCTCACGAGGTTTTACGGATTCCCTCAAAGGTCAAAAAGTATACGTTCGCGATTGTAGCTGAAGGCCTTACTTAGAAGAAAGCCTACCGAAGAGAATGACTAATTACCCTGGATACAGGGATGGGGATCGGGGCTACTACAGTGCTTATAAGGGCAATGTTTGATCGTATATCGCAACATAACCCATTCAAGTCCTAACTTTAAACATCTAAGCTCTGCGGGGCGCTAAACTTTGTAGTGCGCTTGCGCCTTTCCCTTGGCGGCGTGGTTGCTAGGAAACCGCGAAGCCGCGGTCCTGGCTTCAAATCTCTCTCGACCATGGCCAAATTCGTCATTGCGGGTGAGTGATCCCTGCGTTCGCCCGCAAGTTGCTCAAAACGCCGACAACAGCTCACCTCCCACGGCCGCTTGGCAGTGATGTTCTTACTGGCTTATAGCAAGTCCAGCGTCTATACGGACAGCTCCATGCTTTGCTACGGATTTATTCAAAGATATTTACTGGACCGTGACGGTGCGCTAAGCACTGTGGGACTCTGGGGATACAATGGAGGGGAACATATGTCTGCCTTCTAGGAGCTTTCAGTCTCATGGGGCACAGAACATGTACTTTTGATACGGTGTGATTAATGCAATGAAGGAGACCTGCACAGGCCCCTGGGAGCATAGACTCCTAATCTGGATTTAGGGGGAGAGGGAGAGGTGGACATAAGGAACTGGCTGGGGAAGGTATTGCAGGAGCTGAGTTATGAAGGTATGAGGGGAGGAGGCTATTCCAGATCAAAGCAGAGAGGCTAGAAGCCTCATGGCCTAACCAAAAATCTGGATATGTGAGGAGTGACAGGACCTGGGGCTAGAACAGGAGCAGGAGCCAGGTCCTTGCATTTCATGTACGCCAAGGGAAGGTGTTTGAACTGTATGCTGAAAGCAATGAGGAGTTATAGAAAAATTTTAAGCAGGAGGGTAGTCTTAATGAGTTTGCATTTTACGAAGCCTGTCTTAGCAGCAATGGAGAGAATGATTGAAAGTGCTGGTTGACAGCAAGGACCCAACTGAGAAGACTTTTATTACAACAATCCATGGTACCTGCTCCTTTCCTCATAGTTTCTTGAAAGAGCAGACTGCTCTTCCATCTCCAGTTCTGCCTTCTAATTAATCTTGGAAGAAGGCTTCTAATTCTGCTTCCTGACGGAAACTGCTGTCACCAAAGTCACCAATGACTTTCTTAGAAGCTGTTTATCCTTTGACTTATTTGATCTCTTTGATGCATTGAACACAACTGACGTCTACCATCCACAGAAGAATTTTTTTTTTTTGACAGGGTCTTACTTTGTCACCCAGGCTGCAGTGCAGTGGCACAATTATAGCTCACTGCACCTTTGACCTCCTGGGCTCAAGCAATCCTCCAGCCTCTGCCTCTCAAGTAGGTGGGACTAGATGGGGTTTTGTCATGTTGCCCAGGCTGGTCTTGAACTCCTATGCTCAAGTGATTTGCCCACCTTGGCCTCCCAAATCACTGAGATTACAGGATGCGCCACTGCACCTGGCCCAGAAGAATATTTTTGCACGCTGACTAACTGTATGCTGGGAAGTCAGTGGAAAACACACTTACAGAGAATGCTGCATGTATGACAGTGGCAGAGCAGAGTTCTATAGGAACAATAGCAGGGAACCTTACTTAATTAGGTAAGGGCTTCCCAGAGAGAGAGATTTTTAAGCAGATACCTTAAAGATGATAACAAATTACCTAAGAGAGAAGAGGTAGAAAGGAAGGGAGTAATTTAGGCATAAGTAACAGGGAGTGGAGTTAGAGTGAGGAGAACTAGTTTGGTGATAATTGAGAATATAAAATAAGCACAAAATTGAAACAAGTTTATTAGGACTGAAGCAAAGAGTACAAGGAAGAAAGTGTCATAAAGCGAGGCTAGAGTTAGATAATGTAGATTCTTGTGAGCTATCTTCAGTAGTTTAGATTTTATCCAGAGTTTTGACAGGGGAGGAGGACCTAATCAAATTTGCATTTTATCTGAATGTTATAGCTATAGCGTGAGAGAGAAAGACTGGGTGCTGAAAGACCAGTTAGGAAACTAGTACTGTAGTTCAGGAGGGAGTTAAAGGTAACCTGTCCTAGAGTGGCAAACAATGGAGATGGAGATAAGTGAATGGATTAGAGAGATACTAGGGAGGCAGAATCTATAGAACTGGATGTCTAATTGAGTGGAGGAGGGCAGATAAGGGAGAAAAAGGAGTTAAACATTATTCCCAAGCAGTGGTTTGAATAACTGCAGAGATTAGGAGTCACTGAAAAAAAAATAAGCAGAAGAGTAGGCTTAATACTCTGGATACTCTTACTGCTCTTAGATAATTAGGGAAATGGACATAAAAATATAAGCGACTAAGCAAATTTAGTAGGGAAGTGGTGACAAAATTCATCATGGACCTTCTGGGTGCCTATGAGACATTTTGAAGGATATGGGAAAATACAGGAGGGTGTAGGCATCTAGATAAGGAGATAGATCTGAGCTGGAAATACAGATTTCTACTTGAAGCCAAGGGAATGAAGCCAATTGGCCAGAAAGAATCTGTAAGCTATAAAGACAAGATGCTTCTCAGAATGATACCTTTTAATGGGTTGATAAAGGAATAGGAACCTACAAAGGATGGAAAGGAGTGACCAGAGAAGTAGGAGAAGAACCTGGAGAATGCCCCCACTATAGCAGGTGTTTTAAAAGCATGCAAGGGGGTAGTAGTGGCAAATGCTGCCAAGGGTCAACAAGAAAAGGATCGAAAAGTATCCATTGGATTTAGTGGCATGGATTTAGTTCCCAGTGACCTTCAAAAGAATTGGGTCTACTACATTGCAGTGGATAAGAAATAAATGGAAGTGAAGAACTGAGGATGGCAAATACAGAGTACTCTTTCAAGATATTTTAATAGAAAAGTAACATATGAAAGGCAATAGCTAGAGTGGGGGATGATGTTTCTTAGGACAGGAGAAACAATATAATGAGTATATTTAAATATGACAGAAAAGGACTATTAGAAGCATATAAAACTCTAGAAAGAGAGGATAATTAACTAAGCAAGGTTCCTGAGAAGGCAGATGAGGGTGGGATTCAGAGCATAAGTGGTGGGATTAGATGTAGACAGGAGGTAGGACTCCTCTTCAGTTGAAATGAAGAAGGGAGGAAAGGATGAATCCAAATGCAGACAGGCATGTAGGTGTGATGGAGGAGGTTGGAGGTTTTCCAAACTAATACCATTTTGTTTTGTTTAGATTGGTTTTTGTAAAGTAGAAAGCAAAGTTTTCTGTTGTCTTCTGATAATGCTGAGGAATGTTGAGAAGAAGGAAAGGATTTGGAGGAAGAGGAAAAAGTTTGGATTAGTCATTGTGGAGAAAAGAACAGACTGCTGATAAGAGAAACAGAGGGATCTCCATGTAGGGTTGAGGGCCAATTAAAGCTGGTGACCATGAATTTTAAAGGTGCCCTCCACTTGGTTCTACCATCTTTCTGTAGTGGTGCCCAGTAGGTAGGACCCAGCTACAAAAAAGGCAGGCAATTGGGTTCATCCAGGATGAGGGGTTTTTATCAGGCTCATTTTCCAAAAGGACAGTGGATAAAGATAATTTAAGACATGGGCCAGAAAGTGATGAACCATAGATTTGAACTAGACAGGGAGGCTAATAGACAGGGCAAGCTTCAGACTGGTTGATAACAGCAGTTCCCATGAGGCCAAGGAACTGGTGACTAGTAGGAGTTACTCAGGAAGAATGCTACAGAGAAGGCTCTGCCTTTTGTCTCATCTCTCCTGCTCTATCAGCCACCCAATCCCATCTGGTATAGTAGCTTTAGCTTCCTGGGTGTTGATGGCTACAAACTGTGCCTGAAACACTCACATGGCACCTGCACCCCATATATATCTATATCCAGCTGCTTGCTGATCATATCCACTTAGACATACTATAAATACCTCCAACTGCACTTGACTAAAATTAAATTTCTCATTCATGGTCTCTCTCCAGTTAAGGTCAGCATCATCTGCCCAAGCCAGAAAATAGAGGTTATCCCAGATTCTTCTTTCCCACCCCCAACAACTTCCTGACATGCATCAAATACAAAAGTGATTTTACTACCACTCCTCACTTCAAACTTTACCTTTCAGTAGCCACTAGTGTGTAGTTCATTATCAGTACTAATTCATGCTGAATTAGTAGTAGTTAGCACCCTCCTAGGGGAAATGAGGTCTAGCATAGTACTAGATGAGAATAAATATTCAGTAGGATTTTTTTCTTTCCAAATTTTATTACTTAAGATTCTGACCTCCTATGAAAATTTATTTTATTTGTATTAATCTAATAAACATCAGAAGTTTATGTCATGGCAGTTTATGCTGTAGCTTCATTTATCAAACTGTAACTATAATTCTGTAATTACATAGCAAAAGAAAACATTGCTAATTTGAACTCTTTTAGGTAGAGCAGATTGTCCATATTATGCTAAAACAGAACTTCTGGCAGACTATTTACAAAAGAATCTTCCCGATTTTCGGATACATAAAATCACACAACGTCCTGAGGTTTGGGAGGTAAGAAGCCTTTGTAGTTTGTTAAACTTGCTGATGTACAGAGGTGTTTTAATTTGATTAAATATTAGCTGGTATATTAGATTGGCTTCTGGTAATGACTGTTCATGTACCAGTGATATTTGAATACTAGTAAACAAGTCCCTACTTACTAGTCTCAAAATAATATTTACATTTTTTTTCTAATACCTAGTAGAACAAATTCGAGCCTAATCAATACATAGAATAAATTTGACCTCATCCCCTGAAGAATCCAGGTAGCTTACACTGTGCTTGTTAACTTTTCATTCTCCTTGGTATTGGTTTCCTGTGACTTATTTGGGATACCTTACCTTTCTTTAGGACTGTGTTTCCCCAGAAACAGACTTTGAGATGTAGAATTTGGTGAAGGGGCTTTACTAGGAAGAGGTCTTGGGAAAAGCATCCTGAGAAGGAATGAGGGCAGGAGGAT